CCTTATTCACTGCCAGTGTTTGTTCTCAGCTCATTCTTACACAGGTGCCTTAGCCTAGCGATTCCAAGCTCCCTGTCTGAGTTCAGAGAAATCTCCCTGCCACTTACAACCTAGGGCAACTGCCGTCTCTTTCATTCTCACTTTCCAGTCCTGGATATCAAATGAAAAGAGCACTAATGACTTAACATCACTGGGTTAGTGAAGGATCCAGTAAGATAGCACAGGCACAGCACTTAGCCTGGTTAATGGTCAGGAAATGGTATCTGATATTGTCAGCAGTATACTTACAGATTGATTCTAGAACAAGGGTCAGCAGATGACAGCCCACCCTTTGTTTTTCTGAGGTTTTTTTGAGATGGGGTCTCTCTGTTGCCCAGGCTGGAGTACAGTGGCACAACACAGCTTGTTGGAACCTCAAACTCCTGGGCTAGAAGTACCCTCCTGCCCCAGCCTCCCAAGCAGCTGGAACTACAAGCATGCACCAGCACTCCCAGCTATTTTTTTTAAAATTTTGTAGAGATGGGGTCTTGCTATGTTGCCCAGGCTAGCCTTTGTCTTTGTATGGCCCATGAGGCAAGAATAGTTTTTACAGTTCCATCTATAACTTGCAGTTGACCTGATGAGATAGAACACTACCTTTGAATCCTGAACAAGTGAAATATTATCCTCTCCCCAAAAGAATCCCATTCTTCTCACTAGTAGACACATACTAGAAAAGAAGTACTCAATTAGAATTACATTTTAAATCTTATCAATAAAAAATATGTGGAAATGTCTTTTGTCTGTCATTACATAAGTACTTCTAGAATATCCCTGATCTTACCTATTGGCCCATAAAGCCTAAGATACTTACTATCTGATCCTTTACAAAAAGTTTGCTGAGTCCTGTTCTAGGATAATCTGTTGCTGCCTTCCTGTTCTCTGCTGTCATTCCTGATGTCAGAACTTACTTATTTGCTCCGCCACCATAACTATATAGGTTGGCCAGTCCAAGGTTGCAAAGGGTTCCTTTACAGCTCAGTAACTTGGGTTCCTCGCTAACTGGAAAAGTCACCTGATCTTCAGACATTCACTCTTCAGAGCAGTATTTTGATTCGAAAATGACTTAAGAATGTACCATGTAGTCTCGGCTGATCATAGTTCCACAATGGGAAAATTCAGAGACTGTTTTGATAATCACTTTTGTAAACAAAAATGACAACCCATTGTTTCTGGATCTCCCTAGTAACTACTGATCTTGTACAAAGAGTCCAAACCCAGAAGTCTTCAGGCTCTTATACGCACCCATCTCTGCTTCAGATAACTTGGCAAGATCCAAATTAATCAGTTCTTGGGTAAAAATCACCCCATCTTCTGACGGGGGCCAACAATTTTTCTTTGATGTGCCCAGCATTCCCTTTCCCTAAGACTCTACACAGTGATAAGGCGGTGACACCACTGCCATTACAGAAGGAGGCTCTGTTATTGAGTACATATTAGATGGGCCGGTGTCCTTCCTGAGACACACTCTCTTGGAAGTTCAGAGAGACACAGCCCTGTCCTTAGGCAGGCAGGAGCACATCCCATCTCCCAAACCCCAGCTGAATCCTAAGGGACCCTTAGAGGTTGATACAAACCAGCTTCCTCATTGCCTATGGGCCAGCTGGTTCAAATGTTCCCTAACTACTTTCTTGGCCTGAGAAAAATAGACACAGGGAGAGCCTGGCACCAATGTACCATGAAGTCTGACTGGGGTCTTTCATGGGCTGATTGTTCACTTGATTACTCAGCTCCCCAAATGCGTAAGAGACGAGATTTTGAAAAAAAAAAGCACAAAGTCTACCAGGATGTGTTAAGATCTATGCTATTTTTTTTGGAGACAGTCTCAGGCTATCACCTTGGTTAGAGTGCCACGGCATCACAGCTCACAGCAATCTCAAACTCTTGGGTTTAAGCGATTCTCTCAGCTCAGCCTGCCAAGTAGCTGGGACTA